TAGCCAATTATTATCTCATATTTTAACAGATCTACATACGAGGGCTTCTGAGAGGCAGAATAATTTTACACTTAATGAGCTTCTCAAAATCTGTATTAGTCAATCATGTAAACTAAACAATAAAAATGTTTGGTTTTTATAGGAAAGAAAGACTAGTAAGGGAAAAGAGTGAGTTAATTCAGTGAGTTAGGTAGGAATGGGAAGAAAAGTGCACCAGTAAAACAGATATAGTTCCAAATATATGGCTTGCCCTACATCAAATGATGTCCTATCATATCTACAATCCATTCTTTCAAACATTAATTCCCACTCCACATCCCATACAACACAAGGAAAAACTTGCAAGAGTGCTGCTCTCTGGTACTGTGCAAGAAATGCATTAATGGCTTTCAGTAGGTTCAGTAAGGCTCCTGAAGGTCCAAGGAAACTACAGCAAACTGCCAAAATTCATCAGCTTCTTCCTTGCCAAGCAGAGCCACATTCAGAGCATATTCTCAATTAAGTAGCAAGTCAGACGGGATATTTCCTCTCTGTACAGCTATTTGCTGCTGGACGTCCTGTACATGAATCAGGAAACATCCTGGGTATCTCAAGTATAACCCTGAACAGAACATTTATATGTCCAAACAGTAGTTTGTACTTCTACAGGAAAGCATAAAAACTTCTAGTAGGAACACAACTAGGCAGCAGCTTCAGAATCAGCGGAAGAGAAATTTCTCCATCTCAGCAGAAAGCTTGAGGCTAGCCGAAAAGGCATTTCAATCATTAAGTAGCAGCAGTAATTGATTTGCCACCGTGAACAGCCACACTTGTTTGAGCAATCAAATCTTCCAGAGTTCTCACTAGATACTGTAGATCTCTATTAAATACATGTTTTGTATATATATATCACTCATATGACATGCTTATGATGCTCCCAAGGAATAGAACTAGTTTGATATCCTGATTTGCAGAACCTGTAAATGACACTGCACACATCTCTTGAATCCCAAGAATAACCCAAACACAACTAGGCAGGTAGATGATTTTCCTATCTATTTATCTTGTGTGGCATAATAACAAATTAGGAGATATTGCACATTTAAAGAGGGTGGAAGGCAAATCAGCACAGCATCAACATTTCAGAAACTAATTCTAAAAAAATAGTATTAGAAATACTTTTCTTTCAAATAAAGGACAAAATTAAGTCTACAGATAGGAAAATAAATTATTTCGTCTTCAGAGTCATTGCTTCCCACAGTGCTGAAGTTCATGAACTTGGATGATGGTTCAACTACAAACAGGTGTGTGCACTGAAGACTGCTGGAAAAAGTCTCTGAAAGCCAAGCAAGGTGGACTGGCAGCTGGTGTACCTCAGTACTGTCTGGTACATTGTTTACACTGTCTAACTCCACAAATCAGAAGAGAAAGGACTATACACATCAGCAGCTCTCAGGTCTTGCAACAAGGTGGAAATGCTATTGACATGCCCACAGCTTATTGTTTTTTAAACAATACACCTGCTTAACATATTGTCTCTAGTGCCTCAGATGACAAAGGATTTGAGATCCAAACAAAGTAGCTACCACAAGTGTTATCAGCATCGATGTATTTTCAGATGCAAGACATTACGAGATGTTAACATCATTGATTCACTAAGTTTAGCTGATACCCTTCACTTAAGTTACACCAAAACTTTTCAGAAAAAAACACTGAGGTTCCCCAAACTAGTGTGCCATCATGGAATATGACCAAATTCTCTTTACACTAAGCACAAGGTAGTCCCTACAAGAACTTCAGCAAAAGTTTGAATGTCTCTTTTGAAGTCTTTGTTTCTCTAATCAGAGATGGCCCTTGATGAATTCTCAGTCTTCCTAATTTTGTCTTGTTATTTAAGGTGTGTTTTCTTTCAGACTTTTTCCCCCCATTTCCCAATAGTTGAAAGCTGAGCTGATTTATCAAGCACTTTGCTTTTGTCATTCCCAGATGGGTCACATTCCTTCCACACAATGGATGCACCAACATTTCCCACTTGCTGTCTTGCTACCACCATAGGTCCTGAAACAAGAAATACAAAGGAAGTCAATAAGGTTTATGCACAGTATACACCATTATATTTTAAGAAAGGTGATTTCCTATCTGTTTCAAAATATCAATTATTGCACCAAACTACTCAGTTGTGGGATTAAAAGCATAGGAGGAAACACTGATATTTGGAGACTGCATTAAGTCTAAGTCTTCCTTTTACATAGAAGTAATAGGAGAAACATGGATAAAAACATGCTTAAAGCATGTTAATTTCTTGATCATACACATCGCAGTATACTATTCCCCTCCACCTCTAACACAAGGAGAAATAAAGGTCTCTGAAGTCAAGGAACTGGAGAAAAAGCCAAAGCCACACTACAGGAACAACTGTGTATCAAGTTATATTATTTGGTGGAAGAGCAAAGTCATTATGAACATGAACAAGTTAGGCTTTTTTGTTGCTGGACTTAAAAAGTGCAGGAACTGACACTAAGGGCTGAGAGTGGCATGTTCTAATTAAGCAGTTGAGATGGTATGTATTATTCACATGGCAAACAGGACCTAGACTGGTGAATTTCACAGAAAGGAAAATAGAAATATCATTGCAAAGATAAAAATCACTGGTGTTACAATCACAGCCAGCAAGTCTGCTGACCTGTAATCCAGCTTTTGGCTACAGAGATCTCTTCTGAAGACAGCTTACATTCATTCTAATTTGACTAGTTGGCAGCTATTTCACTCACAGTTAAGAAGGAAGCTTTGCTTAGTATCTTCCGATTGGCTATACCTGGTTCTGAATGGCATCAGGAACCCAAAGCAAGACAGTTCCATTTTTTCAAGATTAGATATTTTTGCAGTTAATGAATTAAATAGAAACAATTTCTGTTTCTCTAGAAATAGATTTTCTTAGTCTATTTCAGAAGATTTGAACAAAGTTTTTAACATGTTAATACTAAGAAGTACCAGTTTCCAACCTTTAATTCACACTAACACCTTACTAAAGCAAATGTTTGTGTAGTACTATTCTTCATAGGAGGAAACTCAAGGCAGACTAAATCAACTGACTGTAAACACATGAACATATTCTGCATGTGCAGATGTCAAGCTATACAACAGTTCAAACATGTAGAAGTACTCTCTCCAAGGTAGAAGAAACCACAAGCTAACACCTTTTCAGTTATAAGTGAATTAAAGAAGCTTAGGAAGATATGCAATGCACAGTTAAGATCTAATGGCATAGGTGGCACTGTAGCATTTAGCCAACCTATTTTATTACAGACTTCTCCAAAATCTCCCCCGAACACTTCAACCAAAACCTCTGGAGAGGGAACTTGTTCACTGCTCCTCTCCATGGATTAGTACTCAATTTACTGGTTAAGTCACACTGCATTCAATAATATTGGCACAAATAGCAGATTTCTATTATCTAATTGTAAACAACATACTTGTCCTTGTTTTAAGATATGTTTATCCGCAGTCCATTTCACAGTAAGTATCCTCCACTGGTATACTCTTTATATTTTTATACTCTTTATATTTTGTATGTTGAAACAGGTGTTTTCTTTTTCGTGGAAGAAGTTTTTTACAGAGAGGGTGATAAAGTACTGGAATAGTCTACCTGGGGAGGTGGTGGAGTCACCATCCCTGGACCCCGGACACAACATCCCTGTGTTTAAAAAGGCCGGATGTGGCACTTGGTGCCATGGTTTAGTTGAGTTGTTAGGGCTGGGTTGAATTCAATGATCTTGAAGGTCTCTTCCAACCTTGTGATTCTGAAACCATTGTACCTACTATGAACATTCCTGCTAAAATTTTGTTGTTTTGCCATGTTCTGTCTGTGCTTCAGCACTTTAAGTGGCCACAATCAATGCAGACCATAGTAGTTATGAATAGAAAAATGCTCAGATCTTTTCCCAGAAGCCTTATGCACAGACAGGAACTACTGAGACACACTGAACACAAATATACATACCTGGTTCCTTCCGTCCACCACCCTTCAAAAGATGGCTTCTTCACTTATTTAATGCTGCAACTCTATAGCTCAAGATGATTTATTTCCAAGATTCTGGCATGGTCTCTGGAACACAAATGTCTTTGTCTATGCCACGGAAGAAATGTCCTCCTCAGCCAGCCTTCTTCATGCCAACCTCTTACAATCCAGCCATATAGCTCCAAATCCACTCAAGAGTATCTTGCAGTCCATGGATGTAGAATGTATCAACATAATCCTGGTCCATTACAAATTATGATGTCGTCTCCTTTCTCTCCAGGAATGGCAAATGTTTCATTCCAATGGTAGTACTTATTCAAGGTTTCCTCATGAAACAGTTTTTCTGCGCAAACTGTATCCAATTAGGCAAAATATTTGCACATCCAATCATAGGGCAGAATATTCCACATTTAAGAGTTCAGCATATTTCAAAGAATTCAGATACCCAAAGACAGGAATACCACACTTGCTTCTGTGATTCTTCAAATACATTTCACAAACTTCCAATAACAAACAGGTAAAAAGTAGTGTAGCAAATCCAGGAAAACGAAGCGACAAGGAAATCTCAAATCTCATGTTGTATCAGAAGAGCAGAATTTTCTTGTACTATGGGAAATTACTATACAGCATGTGTCATCTACAGCAGGTATCCCATGTGGAGAGTGATTTGTGGATCTTCCTTTTAGAACACAGAGCTCAAATACTGCGGCAAATTTGCAGAATTTTTAAACAAACATGTTGCTGTGGGAGAGCCTTCAGGCTTGCAGAGGCATCCCAACACAGGTGAACAGTAACAGCTCTAGTGTAGCCAAAGCCCAAAAGAGCAGCAAGAAAATATGACTGGAAGTGCTTATAAAATACTGTGGCAGTGAATAAAGATAGTGAGACCAAGTAAGATTACTTGGGGTCTGAAAAGGAAGCTGTAACATGAGACAGGAAGACAAGAGAGGCATAAACTAGGGACAGGATCATGATTAAATGGTAGGAGAACAAGAAGACAAAAGTAGCTGCAGCTACAAGAAGAAAAGGACCAGGCAAGAAAGTTACAGACAAGGGAAGTCATTAAAGACAAGAAGATACTGAAAAAGAATTTTATTAAACAGTTAAGGAAATAATGAGTTTAAGAAAAACACTAGAAGGAGAAATAAAATAATACAAACAAAATAACTGGCAACTTAGTGAAGCTGAGGTTTACAGTTGTGGCCAACCAAATCAGCCAGACATCAAGACACAGGGAGATATCAAGTACTACCTTGAAGCATTTGGCAATTAGATCAGAATATTAGACTCTACTTTTTGAATTGCTTCAAAATTTAACACCACTGGGTATTTTCCCAGAGGTTTTATACATTTAGTATCCACTAAAATATGGGTTAAAAGCTCCAGTGCCACAAACAAAACAAGCAGGTGCTTTATAAACTTGCCTCTCAGTGAGCTCTATCAGTTTAGCTGAACCTTAGCTCTCAGCAAACCCTGATGCTGGAATCTGCACTGTTCTTTCTGAGAAGACTTTGTTAATGCATGAGCACCCTAGCTCAAAGAATTTTTATATTTGGCCATTCTCTCAGCATCAGCATGCCTTGTTCCTTATCCACAGCTTCCCCTATCCATCTGGTTCTGAACTTAATAAACCAAGACCAGCTGCTTCATAACAGCTTCAATACATATGCAGACAGAATCTCAAAGATCCAACACCTCGCCCCTGATCTAGGCCATGACTAGACGACTGTTTCCCTCAAGGAAAAGAATGTCTTTGGTACCAACAAAATGCAAGAGCCTTGTGAAATACGCAAGACAAGCTGCTGTTCCAGGGATTTACCTTTCTGCAAGCAGGACAAAGTCCATTCTCATCAGTGCGAATACGATGCCAACAGAAACGACAGATTTGGTAGCCACAGGTGCAAGGGAAGAAATTGATGTCATCAATTTCCAGAGGCTCCATGCAAAGAGGGCATTCCACAGGGTCTTCCTTAGCGTCAGGGCTGCGAGACATCTTTATATGTTCGCAGAGCAGCAAAAGTTTATAATAACTTAATAGACCAAGCAGGTCAGCACTTGAAAGTCTGCAAGAGGAAAAAAAAAAGGAGAAAATATTATTAAAACTGTTGACAACTTTTCTTTCGTACCTTTAAATATTTCAGTTTTTCATCACTTTTCCTCTCCCCACACAAGTTACATACCAAAACACAAGTTTCTGCCATATCAACTTGATTGTTTTTTCCTTCTTAGGAGCCTCACAAATAATACAAAAGATGGTGCTGGTGATGCACCCTCCCCACCTGGACAGGTAAGCACTTTGGCAATTCACTAGCCAGTTTGGGTTTCAAAATGAAGATTGCAAAGAAATCAGTGTACACCATACATTGCTGTATGCTATGCATGTTATAATTATTGCTTTCTTGAAGTGTCCTTTACAAATCCAAAGTCAAATCCTTGAAAGCAGGACTTAATGGTTAAGATCAATTTATTCCTTTGCTCAGAAACTTGGAACAATGAGATTTGCAGTAACATTTAGGTCATCCATTCAGACTTTAGAGTACATTACAGAATTAACAAACAAAAACAAGGAAAGCTTCTTACTCAGGACAATTTGTTTCTTTTGTCTATCTCATTGTTTTGGTCCAGAGACTAATCTGGAGATAAGCATTAGGACTTACTTAGGACTACTTCATTAGCCGTGATTTCTCAGGCATACATCTTTCTACACGTGTCAAACTTTCATCCAAGTTAGTTATGGTTTTCATCAGCACTCAGTTCACACCAAAGCCAAAATACATGCAATGTGGTTGAAAAAACTTAAATTATGATTTGGTGTGCAGCCATAAAAAGGTGTTTCTGAACCAGAATTTTGAAGAAGGCCAATGTTCAAATCATCATTTTCTTAATTTATTTCCTGAATTCAGTCATTTGAGTGTACTTCTATTCTCAGTTTAAGGATGCAGCACAGGAAATTTACTTTCAGACTCAAAACAAGACACTTGGAGTCACCACTGAGATAATTAAATTGGGTGTTTTCTACTTATTTCTTTTAAGTATCACTTTGAATATGGGAAATTGCATCTAATCTCAACAAGCTGTCTCCATCTGCTGCACGAGACAAGCATGTAGATGGGGCAGAAGTCAAGGGCAACGTAGAATTGTTAGGTGCACCTTTGGAAAAAAAATAAAAGGAAAAAATTAACAAAACCTAAAAACATGTTGAAAAGTACTGAAAAGATGTGACCAGAATTGATAGCTGGATGGTCATACTAGCACTACACCACCTTCTTCAGAAATAAGTGAACTCTAAATTTTTTTAAAAATCCAGAATTCTTTTTTCTATCATGTTTTTCCCAAAACATCAGTAATTGAATTATACTTGAACCACACACACACATAATCTGGAGTCCCCCTCTACTTTCTCAAAAAGTTTTCTGCTTCATTTCTAACCAAAAGCTACTAGACTGTGTACTACCCAGTATTTCTCCAGGCTTTTAGGAGTAAATCCAGAATCCAATTCTCACACCCATCTATTTGAAGAAGAGTGACATTTAATTGCGTCCCTGGAAATTAGATGAATGTATGTTGTGAGATCAAACCCTTGCTCATAGATTTCAGTATGGTCTGATACCATAGCATTGATCTGATACTTTCACCATCCCCCAAAAAAGAAAAGCCAAACAACTGGTCGTATTTTGATCTTCCTCACCCCATATCGTAATTTCTTGCATGAAGTCTATCTTAAAAAGACCAAGAGATTCCAGCTCAAGTTGGGACGCATCCCCACCATACAGGACCAGATCCATTTAGCATCAGTCTGCAATACTTGTCCCTGCCTGCACACCACTTCAAGGACAGAAATTCCTCTACAGGCAGTCAGGAAAGAATCCTGAGGACGAAAAACACAAGCATGCAACCAAAGTACCATCCAAATACACAGCAGAGAGCATATAGCTTTACATGGAAATGGCTGCATTGTCCCCAGATTAACCTGTAATCACAGGCTCATACCAGAAGCCCAGACTACCTGCAATTCCAACCTGTTTGGTAGGAAGTACATCCACTAAGCATAAAGTATAGTTCTGGCAAACATATACCACTGCCTTTGAGAGAAAAAGGTCCACTGGATGATCACAAAAAAGTAAGGATGAGAGAACAACTTTTAGATGCTGCAAGCACAACTTTTCTATATAGTACGCACTAGCAACAACACTATCCTCTTTCTGACCCTCACAATGACTAAAATCAAAAAGTTAAACTTCCATGATAATAAAGCAGCTTTCATTTCATTATCTACATTTTCATTCATGCTATAGTCACAATCATTTTGACCATCTCAAAAACAGGTTCTGTAAGTTTACCAGTGTTTTCTACAAAGAACATTAGCAGAATCTGACCTGAAGGGAAAAAAGGATTACTTTGCTTGGGAGCTTTGTTATTAAGAACATATCCCCACTGGCTGAAGAGTGGGAGGGACTGTTAAAAGGTCCCAAAATATCATTTAAATGGTTACTATGCAGATAATACACATTTTTACGGTAGCCTGTAAACATTTCCTGTAATCTCTTCACACTTGTATAGCAGTGAAACCATAACAATATGACAGCGACTTTAAGCCAATGCATGGGATAACAGATTTTTTTCAATTTGGCTTTGGATTTAACTTTGTTACAGAACTCCCAACAACAGATCAGTAAGCACCCAGCATATGCCCTTCTACTGCATTCTCATTCCACCACATGCACAGCAGCTCTGAGCCTACTGACACACATTTAAGTAAACCTATACCAGTACTAGTGAAACTGTAGTTAAAAGAGCAGATTTGAAGAAATTTTCACCCCTACAGTAAAATCACTGAACTTACTTAGGAAATTATTATTTGTAATCTCCACTAAGAAATGTCATCAGTTCATGTGGGGAAAAAAGCATGACATATTAGCTAGTGCCTCTGGGATATGCAGATGAGCTCTAACAAAACTGCAACATAATTAACATTTATGAGCTGTTTAAGTTAACACTAAGAGTTCAGCAGCTGCTAGCAATAATGTCAATAGCTTGCTTCAGTCAGCAAATGGCCCGTTATTTTGCAACAAGGAGGGAGGAGCAGCTGTGTGCCATGTTTCTTGAAACTGAGGAAATATTTATTTACTTGGCCACAGACCATTCAAGCATCCCATTTAGAGATTCTCCACTGAAGTGTGTCTCCATCACGGAAGGTTTATATACTGGGATTTGAGTCTGAAATCTGCATCAGAACAGTGTTTGTTTTTTTCAAAACTGAAATAACATGCACAGTAAGGTATCAAAAATGTGTTTTGCAGACACATGCACTACCAAGCAGCACAGAGCAACTAGTTAGCTCTAAGGCTATTCCAAACAATTCCAGATTAACAGCATGGGAAAAGTAATGCAGCAATAGCAAAAAACAAAAGGCAGTATTATATGTTGTGCTTAATCCAGAGTATTTGGTCTTTGGGATCAAGTTCAAAGAGATTAAACTAATTGTGTCTCAGGAGAAGAAAAGGAAGAAGCTTGTGCACATGTATACATGCTTCACGACCAGCTAGATCTTGTACGTAACACGTCCAAAACTCCAATACTGAAGTCTAACATGGCTCCGACAGTTCCACATCCTGTTTACAGGACACTGCCAAAATATTCACACAGGGATGGAGCAGAAGTGGACAGTGTCCAGCAGCATGCTTTAGGTGCAGTGATTTTGTTAAAGGTAATACCCAAACTACAGAAGTTGTGTGCTTTATCCCTTCTACTGTACCAACTAATAAGTTCTTTTTCAAACAGGTACAGAATGGAAAAAAAGTAGAAATTTTTATTAACTTTAAGTGCTTATTTAGCAGATGACAGATGCATCTAATCAGCTTCACCGAACAACTGTTACTCCTGATAAAATCCTCTGGATTTTACAGTCAAGAAAAAGTGATCTTACTATATGAAGGTATTCACCTAAACACAACTTAACTTCTAATATACCTAGTGATTTCAGTCCATTTAGGATGCAGATGCTTGTTGCCTTTCCCTTTTGCACCTGAAAAGAATGAGTATAACTTCCAGCAGTTTATCTTCCCTATTTAATTTTAAAACGGGTCATAAAAAAGGAGAGGGGCAGGGAAAAGAAAATAGCTTTTTATGCCCTCTTTTTCCTCAGCAGCTTGAGACTTGACACACACTCCCCATCTCTCCAAAGCAGACACAAGAATACCTCCATTTGCCAGCAGTTCATTTTAGTAAACACATCCCTTAAAGTTCTCCTCCAGAAGGGCAGCTAGCTCCAGGGAATACAGACCCATTCTTCTTCTCACATAATGGACTGAATCCAGCCTTGCTACTTGCTTTAAGAAAATACGAGTGTCGCAGACAAAAGTTCTCAAAATCTAGTAATGAAAAACCTCAGTAAAGTCTCACATCCCAGAAAGTATTTGGAGACTCAGGGCCTCTTGAAGGAAAAAATCCAGACATGCATTAGCTAATGTTTCACTTAAAGTTCAAACATACCTGACACTTGAAGTGAAACAGGTCGGAGTCTATGCACTGAACCTTTAGTAAGGACTCGTTAAACTTATGCAAACAGAAACCCATGCTTTTTTTCATGGCTTTGTATCTCTTGAAATTCATCAGCCATGAGAAGTCGCAAAACCTCAGTGTATGCAGATGCTTGCCCACATAATGCCACTGGGAAGGCAGCTCCACCTGCCAAGACCCCTGCTCCTACTCTGCTCAAGGATCATTTCCCTTTCTACACTTCACCTCTGCGGTGATCCACACACAAGCTGGAGGGAGAAAACCAAGCAGACTACATACAGCAGCTATAATGGGTTAATTCTTCATGAATCAGGGGAGAATCAGCAGCTCTGTCAGCACAGCACTCTCTTTCTGACCAGCATGGGGGCAACAGTGGCTGAAGCATGTTTAAGACTACCTGCTCCTGCTAGTGATTGCTGGAAGGAAAACACCACCCATCTTCTTCAGACCACAAGTAAGAAAGGCTATCACTTCATTGCATTGCAGTGACCACTGGAAGCTTTACAATACAACCTTTCATAGGCACACTACAAAGAAAAGCCCA